ACCAGCATCTCACTCTCATCAACTCTAGACCTGTTCTTATTGACCCTTAATGAAGGCTGCATTTTTAACAGTGACATATAAACACTCTAAAGCAGCCCTTGTAATGAATCTGAATGCTCCAAGTAGATTGAATAGTAACAGAAAGGAGAGATTAGTAGAATAGAGTGTACCTTTATTACACATAAAATCATACTGAAACCGATTTTCTGAAGAAGGGTCCAGACCCTAAACGTCAGCCTTCCTGCTCCTCTGATGCAGCTTGGCCTGCTGTGTTCATTCAGCTCTACACCTTGTTATCTTATATACTGAAACTGTAAATCCTCAAAGATGCTGTCACCTGTATCCTCCAAATGCAGCTAGTGGCTTCTCTTGACGTTTGTAGGGGGCTAATCTGAGGGTGCTGCTTGCAGCTGAGGAGGGGCAGGCTGCTCATCTTACCACTCTGTGGCTTTGGATGACACTGATGAACGTCCTCTAGCTGCCTGAGGCCTGGAGGGCCTCTCCTCTATCATGGTGGCTGCTTGATGTACTGGTGTCACTGGCAGAGAGGCTAAGATGTCACAGTCCAGAGGACCTCGCAGTGGAGAAGACAGTTGCTCCTCCTCCAACATGAGGACCTTGGCACCTCTCTGCCGACCTGAGTAGTCCAAGGACCTAGTGTGAAAGGAAATCACTTTGTCCTTCTCTCGCCAAGCCTTTGCGCTAGGTTCATGGACAAGGCAGCTTTACACTCAATTGTGACATCTACCAAGTGGTCAGCTCATTCTGGCTGTCAATGAGAGTCACAAATCTGTCAATAGACAGAAAATGTCTGCAGACAAGAAGGGAAAGGCATCACTCAAGACCTTGTTGGTCTTTCTCTTGGATTTGGAGTCAAGGTACATGTACCCTCTGGAAACTCCACCAGATCTTCACGCATCTCACACTGTACCTCCAGCATCTGCTGTCTTACAGCCAATTCTAGAGCATGGCCACACCATTATCTTGGGGGTTCAGCCTGTCCTTCTATGCTCCTCGGAGGGTTAGTAGCCTCAACTATCATACCCTCCATCAGCTTCTCAGGTGGTTCTATGCTGTCCCCACCAGCTTGTAACCTCAATTTAAATATGAATGGATTCACTCCAACCTGACAGTACCTGTATTCACTCTGGTGGAGGTGCAGGGAGTGATGTAATGCAATGTCATCAGAAGATCTCACCTCCTCCTCAGAGATGGGCAGCTGATCACTGCAGCATTCTACTCTAGTTGATGATGTATAGGGAAGAATATAGATCAGAAGCTTCAACACTTCAGAGGCTCCAACTGCTACTAGAGAAGAGATCCATGGATAGTGGTAATAGTCAAAAGCTACCATGTACCCATTAGTGAGGCTGCTGTCTCTTGTGACCGTGTCGAGCCTCAGAATCCACGACGAAGCAGCCAGCATGCAGTCTGTTAATGTCAATATTTCCTCCCTAAAGGTGTTAGAAAGGCAAGAAAGGAAAAACCGCTGCCATTCACTATTGTTCTGAGCTTTCCTTTATCCTGCAGCTGCAAAGCGAACTATATTAGTCACCCATTGAAGTCAAGAACAGCATCTGAACATGTGGCAGCTTAGCTCTGAACAACAGGGTTATCACAGTGACTCATGCATGTGGCAACTCTGCACTGATACTGCCATGGTCAACACTGACAGATAGCCAAACATTTAGATTATCAACACGTAAATGTTTCCAATTTGCATGGAGAAGGTGGTAAAATCAGGACAGACTCTAGGTCAGCCATGCCTGATGTAGAGCAACGCCCCTCAAGCTATTACCTTTGGTGAAAGGCTGGCATCCTATTCCAAGGGAAAAAAAACTAGCTTTGGAAACAGACATAAGCACAAGCTTTTTCTGTCTCGTGTGTTACTAGACACAGGATAGCCTCTAAGTTTATATCTTAGCACAAGAAAATATCAAAAGGCGCTTCATAGGACTTAGACAAAATTGACACTGGGTAAAAGAATGAGACATTGAAACAGATGATCAAAAGTTTGGTCAACAGTTTATATTTTACAGTGTAACTGCAAAGAAGAATGAGGCCTCAGAGCCATTTCCAGAGAGGGCCTACACAGCCAAAGCAAGACTGCCAGTGATAACTTGTGTGAAATAAAGATGCATAAAAGCCTAGAATTGGAGAAACACAGCATTCTTAGAGTGTAGAAAGGCTGGGAGAGGTGAGACAAATGGCGAGAGGTGAATATGGAGGGATTTGAATGGAAGGATGTTAATTTTAGGCATTCTAGGAAACTAGTATAAGTCAGCAAGACTGTGGATCATGGTGAATAGGATTTGGTACAAGTACTTTTGGAGTTTTGGGTGGGTTCTAGTTTATTGATTGGTGGTTCCTCAGCTAACTAACTTTAGTGGACAATTAAAATAAGGGTTAGTGGAGTGGTTTTAATTTCCCTTCTATATGGCCTAAAATATAATGATATTTTCCATTTCAGTCGTGTTCTATGGCAACTGAATCGTTGCCTGCACCTTCAAGAAAACCCACTGGATCACATGCCAATCAGCTTGTTAAGAGCTGACCGGTGAATGTCATGGCCTATCAAGGGCCTCCGCAGTGAAGTCCAGCATCTCATGATGGCCAGCCAAGGTCAGCAGCTTCTGGGTCCTAAAGGCCGACTGTTGAGGCCTGGTCTTCATGAGATTCAATGGCAGGGTGATAAATGGTTTTCTTTCTCTTCTTGAGAAATGGGGATGAAGGGTAGAGGTGTAATGATTCTAAGTAGGTCAGCCAGGTGGACCTCATAGAAAATGAGTTCCCTGATTGGGGCTGTTAATCTGGTTCAATCAGGGAGCACTGGCTGACCGATGTAAACAGAACTGTCAGACATCCAGTTCACTCTGAGAGTTGACTCTGAGGGAACTGGATCAGCGTCAAGGACTCTCCACTTGTAAATAAAGAGTGACTTGGTGGCAGGATACTGGCCTCTATGGAGTTATTTCAGAGGAGCATCAGGAGGTTTAGTGGCAAAAGTAGGGTGGTAGCTTTCAGAGGCTAAACCTTTGCCCCTCTATCAATGCACTGATTGCCCCCAGATTGGAGCAAATAGAGGCCAAATCTCTAAACCCATCAGGCAGGTCACCTTACTTTCTCATTAAGAAACCGGTCACTTTTCCAACCTGCAGCGTAGGTAGGTAATCTCACCAATAGCAAGCTGAAACCCCTAGATGGCCGTTAATCAACTATTTATGCTCCTTAACTGCCCCAGTGGACCTTCTCACACTGCATTTAATTGGTGAGGCAGTAAAAAGGGGATGAGTAACTTCAGGGCTAGCTTACTCTGTTATTTCGTCTTCTCAAGTCACCACTTCCACAAAGGAGAAAATTGCACCCATCGTGTGCCATGCCTACTTTCCAAACTGAATCATGTACTTTGATAAGACATTAAAGGACATGGTGCTTGATCTTTTCAGTGATCTGTTTGATGAAAGTTTATAGGGTTAATTCGCTTAGCTTCACATCCTGTCTTCTTTCCCTTTATTTAATCATTCTTATTGGTTTAATCAAATTCAGAAATAATGACATGAGGAATGTTTTGGGTGTCAACAATATGCGAAGGCCCCATTAGTTGCTCCAGTTGTACTTACTTCACATCGATTAGTAACAACTTGAATTTTAACCATTCTTGTAGAATCATCTCCTCTTCCCACATTGCTTAAAATGTTTCACAATCCATCTTACTTTTCTCTCAGATCCTTCTTTTAGCATCTTGCTGTAGGTGATTTGTTTCCTGTGTGCTTTTCAATTGTTTTAAGGCCTTGTATCACTTTCTTGATGTACCTTTTTAACCAGGCCTGTGGTCATCCCGCTAACAGTAAAAGACTCTTTGTGTGACCGGGTCCAGATTAATGTTACAGTTCTATAATTTGTATTTTCTTTTTCATCAGTGTAACAATTCTCATTTCATTTATCAACAGATACTTATTTCCAAATGTAAAACCCTGAAATATAACTGAACTTTTGTACCTTCCTGTACCTGCACCCTGTACCCTGCACCCTGTGCCTTCCTTTCCCAGAATCCCTGCTGGTCAGGTAAATAATTAAATAAGAACAATACAGTGTCAAAGTTACAATGAGCAATGCTCTGGGGGGTACACTTAAAACACATTAAATTGAGCTTAATAGAGCAGGAGATATGGTTATATTATATGATTATACCATACCTCTAATCGAATAGGGTACTGAAGAATCTGATTCAAATGCATTTATTTTTCATATTGTGACATGGCTCAGCAATTTATAGGCCTATTACATAACTTGGTAAAGATTGAGAGTCAGCTTTCAAGGTAGTGATATTAAATTTATTTCAAAGTCAACAACAATTTATTTTTTGAATGGCAGATTAGCATTGTGCTTTTATGGGACGGTATCCATCTGTTCTGTCAGGTTTTTACCAATCTAACATGATTCATCCAACCGCGCATGACAGTCTTGTATTTCATCCCTGGTTGATGGTTGCTGTAGTTTACAAGGACACTGGTATTGTTTTCTGGAGTGTTGTCGCATTTCAAGTATGTACGATGACAATACTTTCTATACAGTCCCTACGGACTGGTCAATATGCCAATCTACTGAGCTGTTTTTTAAGAAATATAAATTAAGAAATGAGTACCACTCTTTCCTTAGCAAATACTAAGGAGCTGAAGTACAGAGCCTTTAATAATCCTAACCTCAAGAAAAAATAAAATGGTTCTCACTGTAACCCTGTTATAATGTTCATTATAGTTTACTTCACTGGAAAAGAAGAAAGCTTTCTTTGTCTTCTCCAGTCTATTTAATACTGTCCTTTTGGTTTGTAACATTCTTCATCTTCTGAAGCAAATTCTTTGGCACAAAACTTCAAAAATGTAAGTGAACAGCAGTTTTCTTTTTTTGCCTTTCAAAGTGAGTTCACAGGTTTAGCGCTTTGTGTTCTTGCTGGTGCATGAACTGCTCATCATTTTATGTTTCTTGTCTTTCTTGTCAAGATCCACTTTCCAGGAGTTTGCAGAAAAATATGGAAGGGATCATCGATTTAGATTGGTGCAAAAGAGGAAAGATCAAGAACACTTCTTCAATCAATTCATAAATATTCTCAAAAAGAGGGACAAAGAAAACAGGATTCGACTGAGGAAGATCAGATAAAGCTCTATTAAAGCTTCACTGAATGAACTGAGCTGCTCTGACGGAATTGTTGACTAAGGAATTCAGACAGTCCTATCTGTGTGGTTTTGGCTAATTGCATTATGAAAACATTTACAACTCAAGATAATATTTTGAATTTAAAGTTGCAGGTAATACGAGTTCACACCTCCATTATAAACACATACATCTCTGTTGACTTTTTATTAAATTTGTATTGTTATTTAAAGCACAACTATTACATTCTTTCTTGTCAATTAAGCAAAGTTTGGAGGATGTCATTTAATTTCTGTGACTACTCATCAATTGTTCAGAATCAGTACACTGTAACAGTGAATTAGCTCCATGATAATGAAAATGCCCTCTTTCAGGATGGAAGAAATTTCATTTATCAATAATTAAACCCACTGACCTTCAGATGACAGTGTGGATAGCTAGTGTAGAAGATTAGTGCACTGGCACTTCAGTGTGAAATTATTCTCTGCAGATTGTGCTGATAATAGTGACATTCACATAATTTTTACTGCTCTAAATAAGCAGAGATTGCAAATTATGATTGAGAACATTGGCTTTTGGACACTAATACAAGGTGACATGATTTGAAGGCCATTGTTTTAATTATTGCTTTATATTTTAAAAAGCTAGTTCTTAAAAAGCATAAATAGGACATTCAGCTCTTAACATTAAACTCACCAAGAGATAACATTGCTGTTGAATATCAAGACAATGTGGCATTATTCCAGTCACACTAACAGTGGAGCAGGAATAGGTTCTGCCAGTAGTACCAGCTTATTAAATTGCACTGTTAAAATTATAATTGCAGTATTTAAGAAAATGATATGGTAAATTTAGTTCAGTTATGTATTCTGTATTTTTATCAGTGTATGAAAACAGTGATGGTAAGATTGAAAACCGTACAGAACAACAAACTATTTACATTAATGTGTGCTCTTTATTATATTTGTTTTGCTTCTAGTGAGTTATTGCTCATGAAGTGCAGAGTGCCTAATTAGTAGTGCTAGCTTGATGTTTAAAACATTAGAAGAGACTGAACATTCTAAAGTTTGGCTTTTTATAATGTAATTATTTTAAACTGTGCTTGTAGTAAAGTAACCCATTTACAGTACAGATTTGTAGTGTAATGCCTTCAGACAACACCTGAGTAGCTTTGGCAACCATTTGACAGATTTAAGCAGTATTTCATTTTTATCACAAGTGATATCAATTTCCATTATATTTTATGGTTTAATAAGTTCAGTGATTTCTTTTGAAAGTATGTACAAAATCCACAATATTTTCATTAATAAATATTTCACAATCTTATTCCAAGATATTATTTATCAAAAGCATTTAATTTCCACTAAATGTTTAACAATACAGCATGCAGCAACATTATAAATAATAATTTGGTTATTTTTAACAACCCAAGTGAAAATAACAGTAAAAATTGCAAATGAAACTCACTGATCCAAATTGTCTTGTATATTTCAAAAGGGAGGTCCAGTAAAATTAGTTGTTCATTTTCAAGAAGCTTTTTAGCAATTTTCCCTCTGGGAAGTGAAAAGATTTTTTTAAAAAATGACATCATTGACCAGGTCTTGCATAAATTTAAATGTGAATGTGGAAGAAAGGCTAAAAGAATTAGTTCATCTCAAAAATGTAAACAAGAAATATTCTGTTAAAAGCAGACAGAAAATTGCTGAAATTATGAAATCTCATGACTATGTTAAATGTTTTTCACATTACTGCAATTTCTGCCACAGAAATTTATCCTCTCATTGATGTATTCAATGCATAATTCTGCATGAATTCACCATAACGTTAAAAAATTAATCACTTGAAACATCAGAATACTTATGCTTCAGATGTACAGCTATTTCTGCTGTTTAACTCGAGTTTCGTTAATGCGAATTGACTGTAACGCGATTGATGAATAGTCGACGCTGTTTGGATAATGCGAACTTTCTACTGTACTGTCTGGCGATTTTCCATAGTGATTTCCCTATAACGCAATTTTCAATAGTGTGATTTTCTATAGCGCGAGATCAAACAAGAACACAACTATCATACTATAGGACAACTGCCTGTATTGAAAAAAAGTTGCGATAATAAGTACTGTGGGAAATCTGTTTTGATAACTTCAACATATAACAATTTAGGACAGTAATTGCAAGGCTATTCCACTGAGCTTTGTCATTTCTCACAGCTTTGCAAACTCCAGTGGGACTCAGATATACCTCAGGCAGCATTCCCTTAGGATATAGTAACAGCCATGCCATCCATTCAATATTGGGAACGGATGACAAATGGAGTGAAGCTGACTTAAATATTATACCAGGAAATGTTGTTGAAGTAACTTGTTGTGAAGTGGTATAAACGTTGAAAATGTTGACCTGTCTGGACCATCTCACTCTGGATGTAAAGCCTGTATAGTTCTTTACTTTTTAAGAACTGATGCTTTTCAACATCAACAGTGGAAAGAAAAGCAGTTTTGTTTTTAATGCTAAATCAATGGAAAAGCTGTCAAAAATATAAAAGTAAGAAATGTCCAAGTGCAATGCATATCCAGATGTGAATATATGTTGGAAATGGCTGCATTTCATTCACCAAATTGTTACGTAATTATGAATTCAGAGCTTGAATTTCACATCAACCAAAGCTGAGTAGATCAGTACTGAAACAGCCAATCACAAAGCTAACCTGGGACACAGGGAGTTGAACACATCTGAGCATAATCTGAGGTCACTTACAATTCCATGTGAAGTGGGTTGTCTGTCAGTTAAATTTTTTGATGGCAACCCTGGGGAAGTGCACTAAGAGTGTTTGAAATAATTATAGAAGACTTTTCTTAAGGACAAATAGAAAAAATAGTGACTTCTTTATGTATTTTCTTTAATAGCAGATAGAATGCAAAGGTTGTTAGCTGTTGCAGGTAAGCTGTACACTAAGGAACTTAATGCTTGATTTGATCCATCTGAAAGAAAAGAAGTCTTAATACCCAAGGGATCAGGGTGCCTAAGTTCTGTCTTCTAACTTGCTACAGTCGATCTGAATACACTTCTATGTGATACAGGTTATAATCCTGTGGGGGAAAAGAATGGATCAGCACTTTATTGCAATTTTAATTGGTGCTGATCAGCTAGTTTAATCTATTGTGGACTCAATTTTGAATAAATATTAGTGTTTAATGACTCTTTTCCCAAACCAAGTAAAAGCAGTGGTAACAAGCATTTTACTAGGATAAGTCAAGGAAATAAATTGTGCCGTTGGTCAATGTAAGATCTCAATCATGGTAATACCACTCAATTGGAAAAAAGTAAAAACTAGTATTATCTTCAACAGCCAAAATTAAAAAGGTGAAGATATTGGAGGTTATTAGCTCCTCTCCTAGTGGCCCATCCCTACCTCTGCTCCCATTTATTATTTTATCTCCACCTCTTCATCCTTCTTCATCCAACTCCCTTCCTGGTATTTGCCTTCACTCACCACCTTCACTCCTAGACATGTTTCCTGGCACAGAGTTGAAAAGCTAACTGTTCAATCCTGGTCATGTTATTTGGACACCAAACATGCCTTTAGCCTTATTAGGACATTAACATTTCAAAACAGCATCACAAAAGTGATGGAATGGTGGCAAGGTGGCATATTCTAAAAAATTATCCAGTCATTGGGATCCCAACCTTGCTTAATATGAAAATACCAACGGCACGCTTCACAAAAATGCTTTTGATTGAGTGTAAGTTGACATTAATTGCAAAGATTGCACTCGATGAACATGGAAACTATGGTGGGAGACCAGGTGATTTCAAGATATTCAAAATATTCAAAATATCTATTACATCATAATGAATGCGTCCCAGCATTGCAAAAGCTGTGGGCATGAGCATGAGCATTCGAATTAGGGGTAATGTAGGAATAAAGTTGGAGCCTTTGCATGAAGCTACACAACACCAGTCTGGAGTGACCCTGAAATGGAACTCTCATGCCAAGGAAAGGAACTATCCTTTGTACCTAAACAGCAACATTTCCAAGATGGCTGTGCTTAATGTTGACATCTCTCACCTTAGACATCCCAAAATAATCAAACCACACATTTAACAATCTACGTTAAGATGCTTTGTTGCTGATGAGTAAACACTTTATAAATGTATACTAAATAATTTTTGATTTGATTTATTATTGTTGCATATACCTAGGTACAGTGAAAAGTTTTGTTTTGCGTGCAGTAAAGTCAAATCATACCATACAAAGTGCAGAAAGGGAATAGAACAGAGTGAAGAATACAATGTTATGGCTACAGAGAAGGTACACAAGGAATAAGGTCAGTATTAGATTTGAAATTTGAAAGGTCCATTCAGAAGTATAATTGGGGAAGAAGCTGTTCTTGAATCTGTTGGTCCAGGTGTTTAAGCTTCTGTGTCTTTTGCCCGACGGAAGAGGTTGGAAGAGATTAAAACCAGGATGAGGGGCGTCTTTGATGATGTTAGCTGCCTTCCCAAGGCAGCGAGAAGTATAGATGGAGTCAATGGATGGAAGATTGGCTTGCATAATAGACTGGGCTGTGTGCACAACTCTCTGTAGTTTCTTACAGTCGTGGGCAAAGCAGTTGCCGTACCAAGCCATGATGCATCTGGATAGGATGATTCCTATGGTACCTCTATAAAAATTGGTAAGAGTCTTTACAGACATGCTGAATTTTCTTAGCCTCCTGAGGAAGTGTTGTGCTTTCTTGACCATTGCATCAACATTGGTGGACAAGGACAGATTTTTGGTGATCTTCACCTCTCGGAACTTGACGCTCTCAACCATCTCCACCTCAGCTCCATTGAAGTAAATAAGAGTGTGCCCTCCACCTTGCTCCTGATGTCAATGGCCACCAGGTACTCTATCTCTTTCCTGTATTCTGTCTCATCATTGTTTGAAATCTGGTCTACAACAGTGGCATCATCAGCAAACTTGTCGATGGAGTTAGAATGAAATTTGGCCGCACAGTCGTGAGTGTACAGGGAGTATAGTAAGGGGTGAGTAAGCAGCCTTGCAGGGGCGCCAGTGCTGAGGATTGTGGTGGAGGAGTTGTTGTCACCTATTCGCACTGATTGCAGTCTGTGTGTCAGGAAGTCAAGGATCCAGTTCCAGAGTGTGGAGCAGAGACCTAGATCTCGAAGTTTGAAGATTACTTTGGTTGGAATTATGGTGTTGATGGCAGAGCTGTAGTCAATGAGTAGGAGGCTGACATAGGTATCCTCATATCCAGGGATGTTCCAGGGATGAGTGTAAGGGCAGGGAGATCACGTCTGCCCTGGAGCTGTTGTGACGGTAGGCACATTGTAGTGGACCAAGGCAGGCTGAGAGGCTAGAGTTGAAATGAGCCATGAATAACCTCTCAAAGCACTTCATAATCATGGAGCTCAGAGCCACCAGGCAGTAATCATTGAGGCACGGTGAATGAGTTTGTTTTTGGTACCGGGATGGTCTTCTTGAAGCAGGTGGAGACTTCAGATCATAGTAAGGAGAGGTTAAAGATGTTAGTGAATACTCCTGCCAGCTGGTGTGTACAGGACCTTAGTACACAAGCAGGGATTCCATCTGGGCCAGTCACTTTCTGTGGGTTCATTCTTGAATATCGCATTTGCAAGTAAGAATTCTTCTGGATTAAACTCGCAAATTGTAACCTTGCATTATTTAAGAATTTGTTGCACTAAAACAACTTTTCAGAGTTATCTCCCTTTCGATTGTCAGGGGTAGTCCTGCACACCAGAAATATTGTAGGGCGGTTCCGTTGAACAATCCATATTCTACTTAATAGAAGCTGTTATCAGATTCTGATCGTTAGTCTTATTAACATTAATGTGACTGTTTGGTAAGTGTTTCACTAGGATAAATTGTGCGTTACTGTGGAAACAAGATGGACAATCTGTGCTGTTAAGTGAAAATCAATGACTTGAAATTAGCTACGATAACAAAATTGATGATGAATGCCATAAGTTAGACTATTCAGCTCCCAGATCCTCAAGTGGGGAATTCACTTGATACTTGCTGGCTGGAATGTGCCTCAGTCAGCATAACAATGGAATGGAAGTGATGAATCCAATGTCTGATTCCAAGATAATGTTGCCCAATATAGAC